GGGGGTCAAAAGTAAGACAAACGAACCGGCTATAAGACTGTGCCAATAATTCCATAATATGCCTAAAAAATAATTGACGACAACCGATTCCGTCGTGACACATTGGTGAGGCATCGTGGTGAAATCAGGCGCTCGTCAACATAAACAAAGAAATGGGCACTTTTCTCGTTCTTTTGGTAGTTTTGTCAATTTTTAGGTTGGTTGGTTGTTTGTTTGTTTTTATTGGGGGGGGGGGTTGTTTGTTGTTGTTGTTGTTTTGTGCTCAAAAGCTTTTATTGCCTTTTAATGTGCCGATCTGTGTTTTTTGTTGTTGTTGTTGTTGTGTGCTCAAAAGCTTTTATTGAATAACTGTGGGTCTATGAATGTTTTCTGTTGTTGTTGTTGTTGTTTTGTGCTCAAAAGCTTTTATTGCCTTTTAAAAATACATTTATGTGTGTACTTTACTGAAAAACCTTGATCAAATGCATAAAAAGGGTAAATATGCAGTTTCCATAGACTCTCAAGCTTTGGAAGTCACCTAACTTTGGCAACCATTTCCTCGCTAATTTTACCCCCGAAACTAGGCGAGTCCCACCTCTTTCAATTGCAAATACATCGACTAATATTGAAGAGAGATGGGTGAATTTTTTGCTCAAAAGCAAGACAAAGATCAATCTTTACGCTTATATCAATAACTCCACATGCCCAAAAACTAACGAGGGCCTGGTTCCATCACGTCATGAAACTTTTTTTCCAGCCTTGGATGGACACGAAGAAAAAAAAGCCATTCGTGCGGGGGGAAACGTGCCGTTTCCCACCAACCTTTAACATTGAAAAACAAAAAAAAAAAGCGTCAACGGTCGACTTTCTCTTCTCGTAAAGTTTTGTTTTGTTTTGTTTTGATAATTGTATAACGGCACTCACAGCTGAAGAAAGTCATATTGAGCATTAAGTTTATCAAGGATTTTAAGTTTAGTAGGAATTAATTTTGAATTTCATGAGGGCGGCGGCCGAGCCCACTCTTATCGATTTTGGACCACCAAGGGAACATATTGCACACGGGACCTCCGATATTTTTGCCCTTATCTGAGCTGGCAAAATTGTTAGATCAGGGGTGTGTCTGAAAGACAGCTGTAAGATGGAGCTGAGGAGTAGCTGTAGAAAAGATAATGCATTCTTCTCTAATACGGCCAATGGCTTACAAACAAAAAGTGCGCATACTTGAATGGTTTGAAAAATGTTAATGCAACAATGGAGGCGTGACATATAGGTATACGGATTGAGGGGGTGGGGGTAAGCTTTCACAGCAGATTGAAGATTGAATTTCAGTTGTCGTAATATCTTTTAATTAGTATGTTGTAGCTAAACTAACTTTATTTTCTGTTAGGAAAAGTTGGGTATGGGG